GTAGTCGAGTCATTTGTTGACTATTAGTTGACTATAAGTTGACATTCAGCTTGACTTTGAAGTCGACTTTAGACTTCAGCTGCCGACTGACAGTCAACTAATAGTCGACTCGGTGCTGTTTGGGAACTATATGTCGGTCCTTTTTCTTCCACCCAGAAAGGAAAAGGATCAACATATAGTTGCGACTTCTGACTAACGACTAACGACTCATTGTAGACCGGGCCTAATGCCTGGTCGCCGTTGCTGACAAACATTTTCTTTCCTTTTCATCGAGGTCCTCGAATCACGATATCATATCGTGTTCGACCAGTCCACCTTCGGCTCGCTCGGAAGAGGTATATATACGCTTATACTTAAGCCCGTGTCACACTACGTATTGTGGATCACGGATCGGATTGAAATTGCGGATCGCGGAACGCAATTCAACCAATCGGATACGAGGCTGTCTCGTCTGATTGGCTAAAATGCGATCCGCGACCCTCAATCTCAATCCGATTCGCGATCTGCAATGCGTAGTGTGACACGGGCTTTAGTCGCTTATACTTGGCGCGAGACACTACCGTGTCTCGTGATATCTCTCTCTCTCTCTGCAAACAAACAAAGAAAGGAATTCGCAGGTTTACGTCCGTCGCAGTGTTTGAAAGCTTTCAGTCTAGAGTCCCGCTCTGACATCAAGACGCTCTTCTTTCGCGACACTGCAGGCCTCCGGCAGTGGTTGCGATGTTTCCGCACCACTGGGATTTGAACCGGAGGGTTGTTGCGGAACCACTTCCATGGAGAGCAATTCGCCCCCTGCTTACGCACGGTGGGCGAGAAATCTGCACTCCCTATTAGAGGATCCGACTGGTTTGGAGTTGTTCAAGAGGTACCTAAGTCAGGAAGGGCATCTGGATCCGCTCAATTTCTGGTTCGCCTGCGAAGGCCTCAAAGAACAAAAGGACCGAGGTGGACAATGTCTCCCTCAACGACGGATCCATGTAAGTTCTGTTTCTCATTTTAATTTTACGCAAGCGTTCTTCGATTTTGCACCCGACATAGAGAGTGGAGGATCTCTCCAACTTTCATTTTAAACTTTTTAGAATTTGCATCGTGCAGTGTCAACTGCATTAATATCAGTGATGCATTACTAATCCGTATGTGTTGCAATTTGTCTCCCGCAGCGATGGGACGAGCAATAGGCAGAGAAGCAAAAAGCAATACAGCAAAAGCAATCAAGTAGGGCAATTAAAGAGTCCGCGAATATAAATCGCGAATCCATGTCGCACCATGTCGTCCCACGAACCCAGCGTATGGTATCCCCGAAACAGATGTCGACGGAGCAATTCGCGGAAGTGCTCACGCAGAAATTGGAGATCGTCGCACGAGAGCAGAAGGCCAACGAGAAACTGGAGAAATATCTGTATCAAGACAACGACGCGTCGAACGGTAACGATGCATTGGTAGAAACTTGTGGCGCTTCCAAGACTCTTGGCGACGCGCTGAAGGAAAAGTTGTCTATGGAGGAGGACAGCGATCAGGCGATCCTCGACGAGCACGTATCTCGCGTCTGGTTCACTAGGCTCACAGTGAACTCATGGAACAGTGAATTTTGATGACTGCGTTTTGTTGGTACAATTAGAGGAGACTTGTAGAAGACTCATGGAAGAGAATAAAATCCGTGCTAGTTGCAAGCAATGACACCTCAACGTTTCGAAACAGACGCACGAGTTTGCGTCGCAGAGCCAACCGTACGTCCAATCCAATCAGTCCACTTTGAGGAAACCGAAGCAGGACGATTTCACCACTGTTGTGTTCAGTTTCTGTGACGAGCAATTCCCCTACAGGACCAAAATTCCTGGTCACAACGTCACGTTGAAGCAGTTCAAGGAGTATCTTCCGAAGAAAGGGAGCTATCGGTAATGCACCGTTGCTTAACGACAAACTAAATAATTTCGTGAATTTTAATTACCTCTTCGTTTTAAATTGCAGATACTTTTTCAAAACGGAATGCGAGGACTTAGATA